TACCTCCTCCCTCCCTCTCCTCCGTGCGGGGCGGGGGGGGGGGTGGTGGGCGACAGCCAAAGGGAGGAGGAGGAGGAGGGCAGCTCACCCAAGTGCAGACCAACAGAGCACTCCTCACCAGGAGGGTGGGAGGTGGCTCAAGCCAAAGTCCCTGAATTAGAGAAAAGAAGAGGGGAAAGGGGTCCCCGGGGCACAGGGGTGGCTGGCCTAGAGCTTCAAAGGAAAAAGGAGGAGCACCAACCGCCCCCTCCCCCGGGGCTTCGACTAAGTGCCTTTTCTCTAAGCATCCCCATTCTGGTGCCTGCCTGCCCAGAGCAGAGTCTGGGTTAGTGCGTGGAGTGGGAGAGGGAGAGGAGGAGGGCAGGGGTTAGAGAGAGCCCAGCAGATGGATGGAAACCGAGGCCTAAGGGGGTGGAGGCTCTGGGAGAAGCTCACGCACACCCACCCCCTGCCCCCCAGTGCAGCAGCATCTGGATTGTAGCTAATACTGCAGGATGTGAGGAGGGCGGGAGCTTGAGCCACAGTTTTTCCTGTGTGGGTGCCAAGGTGGGGAAGGAGTGGGGGGGGGCAGGGAGAGGCCCCTGGGGCTGGGCACTTGAAAGGGGAGCTGTGTGGGCAGCAGGGCAGGCTGGTGAGGGGCCAGCTGGCATCCAGCGTGAGAGGTAGATGGAACTCAGCGGGCACGAGTGGCAGAGAGCAGAGGGAGAATGGGGGTGGGGGTGCCAAATGGGCACAGAGGGAGGGGCAAGGAGGGGTGGCCAGGACCCTGTTGTATGAACTCACAGCTCTGTTCGGCAGCCCTACCCTTGGGGACCTGGTGGGGGGGGCAGTTCTCTCTGATTTGCGGGGAGGAGGGGCAGCTCTCAAAGTGCTTGGGGGGTGGGAGGGGGCATCCTCCCCTCTGGCCAGCCTCAGTTAATAACTTAATATCATCTCTCTCTCTCTATCAATCCCTCACACTCTTTTCTTCTGTCTAGTATTTCTTCATTTATCTTTTCTCCTTGCCTGGTTTCCAAAGTGCAAGGTAATTTTTAACCTCCAGGGGAGGAGCCAAGCCAAGCCTTTCTTTGCACCCAGGCATCTGGGGAAGCAGAGAGGCCCTTATAGCCTGGAGGGGGAACCTAGGCCAAGAAACTGGGTGGAAGGGGCTCTCTCTTGTGTGTGTGTAGGGGGTGAGTTGAGGGCATTTTCCCCCACCCCACATTCCTCCATCCCCTACGGTCAAGATGGCTTGTCCCCTCTTAGTTCTCTCTCCCTTTTCCTACTTTCTTGGACAGAGGACGGGGTCCCGGGCACTGCAGGACACGGTCCCCCCACCTCCCACACTGTCCTTTTCATAGCAAGTTCATTTGTTTGCCCTGTCCCAGGGCTGGAGGTTCGGAGGAGGGACGGGGCAGTGCGGGGGTGTGTGGGGGAGCTGAATCTATCCCAGGATGAGAGGAAGGAGAGAAGAGGTGTGGGGGTCTCCCTCAGCCCCCAGCTCTGCCCCTTCTCTCCAGGCTCCTCCCCACCAGCTCCGCACACCCTCTGGCCGCCTGAGGCTTTAGACTTCCTGATCCTCAAAGACCTCGAGGAAGAGTGGGGGGAAGAGTTCGGTGGGGCACTCGACTTTCATGTGGAGGAAGCGGCTGGCGTGGCAGGCCCCGATCATGCGGAGGTCAGTCACCTTCATCAGCAGCTTGGGCCAGAAGTGCGGAATGTTGTGTTTGCGGTGGTTGACGTAGTGCTCGAACGCCAGCAGGTACGCCTCCTGACTCTTCTCGATCTTGTCCACACACAGCAGGCCCGAGCGGTCTGCAGGGAGGGAGGGGCAGGCGGGTGAGTAGACGAAGGGCGGGCAGAGGCAGAGAGGCTGGGGCAGAGGGGGCAAGAACAAGCTCTGGGGCACCGCGTGTGGGAGCAACCATGGGGCAGAGGGAGGGGCCTGAGGGAGGGTGGCCCTGGGAAGACAGAAGACTTGGAGGTAGAGTAGGACTAAGGGGCAGGGAGGTGGGGTGGGAAGCAGAGTACAAGGGATGAGGGGCAGGGAGGGGGCACTGAGAACAGAGGAGGGACTGGGGATAGAAGGTGGATGGGAACAAAGTAGGGGGTGGGGACAAAAGGGGCTGTGGGTGACAGTGTGGATGGGGGTCGGTGAGAAAAATTGGGGTGAAGACAGCATAGGAGTAAAGGAGGGATGGGGAGGCAAGAGATGAGTCTGGAGAGCCGAACAGATGGGGGATAGGTGACAGAGAAGGGACAGAGGACGGGCTTGGTGATGGAGATGGCCTAGAGGGGGGACAAAGAGGTGGGCTGGAGGAGCAGAGAGACTGTGGGGTTAAGGAAGGAGAGCAGGGCCCAGCCAAGCTCTGAGCCCCTGGAACCTTCTGGGCCCTCCCAGCCAGGCCACAGGTACCTGTTGACATTAGCAGCACAGCCTGCAGCAGAGCCACTTCCGTGTCGTCCAGGTTAAAGGCAGAGAGTGACTTGCCCAGTTCAAAGATGGCGTCGGAGACTACGCCCAGGCCGCCATTCTTGAGCTGCTCCCGCTTGACGGCCATCTCCCCACTCAGTGTCAGGGTGTCGCTCTCGGGGTCATAGCGGACAGCCGCCCGCAGGGACATGATCTCCATGCAGCACCCCTTCAGGAGGATGATCTGGTCTTCGCAAGGCAGCTGCAGAGCGGCAGAGCCACAGGAACACTCAGCATGCCCTCTCCCATGAGTGTCCCCCACCAGTGCCCGCTGGGAGCTGCGAGGCCACCAATGGCCAGTAACGCGTACTCCGAACAGCTAACCTTGCGCCGGGCCATGGACCTGCCCCATTGCATTAAGCCTCACAACCATGTCTGTGAGTTGGGTCCTGTCCTAATCTCCATCCCCACCGCAGACAAGCAGAGGGAGGTAGAGGGAGTTCGGCTGCGTGGCCAAGGTCACACAGCTAGTAGGGCAGCCTGTCCCCAGAATCAGTGCTCTTTAAAGTGAGGAGAGAAGGGCAGGGAGGGCCTGTGGAGCCTGTTGGTTCTTTAGGGATCAGCTCACTGTGTGTGTGTGTGTGTGTGTTTTGATGAGCACGAGCTAGGACTGGGTGACCTGGGGAGTCCCTCCAGCGTGGCACCATGTCTCCCCTCCCATCTGCCACTCACCTCGGAGAACATGGGCAGTTTTTTGGCAAAGTCCACCACGCGGGTGATGGCCGGGGTGATGATCTTGGTAAACTCGCTGAAGGCCTCTAGGTCCACCTTGTCTCCATCCGGCATGGAGACGATGGGTGACTGGCCAATGTCATCCGGCTAGAGGGAGAGAGAGGGGTCAGCTGGGGCTGCAGACCCCTTTCAACCTCTCACTGAGGCTCCCTGCCCACCAGGGGGAGCTCCAAGGCAGCTTGGGGAAGAGGGACCACCAGCACCTGGGCACTGCTGCATCCCTGGCCTAAGCCGTCTCCTTCAACTTGGGGCAGAGAATAGATCAGAACCAGAGCTCCAAGTTGGCTAATAATAACAACGATCATAATAGCAGTAGAGGTAATGTCATAATAATGGAAGCTCTATTTACTGAGTATTTAATATGCAGCTAGGCATTAGGTTATTTGCTTTACGTGTATTATCTCATTTAATCCTCAGCACAACTGATCACCATTAGTTGGATGATGTTATACTGATCACCATTTCACAGATGAAAAAACTGAGACAGGCATAGCTAAGTAATAAGCCTGAGGTCACGTGGCCAGTAGGTGGTGGAACAAAGATTTGAGCCCAAGTAGTCTGATTCCTGACTGTTATATACACATGTGCTTGGTATTGTAGCCTGTGCTTCTAACAGTGCACTGTACCACCTGCTGACACTCCATCAGGAGTTTTCTGCCTTCTCCCACCACATACAACCAACTGTCCATCTCCTCCCAAGCTGACCACTCACTTGGCACTGTTTTGCCAGGGCCTAAAACAATGCCTCACACCCAGCAGGTACCCTAGAATCAGGTTTGGATTGGACTAAGCTAAGAAGGCTTCCTGGAGGAGGCAAGACTCTGAGCTCACTCTCCTCTCCTGGCCACCTGGCTGCCTCTCTCCCCACGGCCCCCTCTCTCCTTACCAGGAATTTCCGCCTCTGCTTCCAATGGCTGCCCTGGGCATTTGTGCTGCGGTGGGCCTCTGTGGCAACGTGGATCAGGTCCCACTCTTCTGGAGTGGGCTCTGGTCGCTGCTGCAGTGATCGGATCATCTCCTCCTTCCGTCGCCGCTCCCGGTTCTGCTCAATCAGCTTGCGCTTGGCCACCCGCTTCGAGTCATCTAGAACCACTGTCAACAACAGGCAGACACAATGCCCTGTGCATGGCGGTCTCCACAACCTGCTCAGAAACTACTCTTCCCAGGGTAAAGGTTGGAGAAACTGAGGGGCCAAGAGAAGTTAAGTGACTTCGCAAATCACCTAGCGGCTGGGTGGCACAACCGGGATCATGATAACACTGGGATCGCATCAACTCCAATTTGGGCTGATCCAGAGGAAAATCATGTTCTGGTCTAAAGGGTTATGGTGATAGTAGTTACTAAAAGACCCTGCCGGGGGTGGGTTGGGGGCGGTGGGTATAGCTCAGTGGTAGAGGGCATGTTTAGCATGAGAGGTCCTGGGTTCAATCCCTACTACTTTCAAGAAAAAAAAAGAAAAGAAAAAAAGAAGATGCTGCCATCCAATCTCTAGCCACTGAAAGATGCCCTTTCTCACTTCGAAGTGGGGTGCCTTCTCTGGTGGTCAGGGACATTGTGCTATGGCAGGCTACTCAGGACTTATTTCTACCCAACAGCTCTCTCTAAGGCCCTGAGTGGTGAAAGGCAGGGAGGCACTGGGACCAGGTACAGGGTCCACAGAGGAATCCTGTTGCCTTTTCTTCAGGGATGAGCACAGCAGGAACCAAGATTCTGAATAGTCATTCCAACATCAGCCTGACCTGCACTGTCACTTTGCCACTGGGTACCCTGGAAGGGAGTTGCCGTATCCGAACTCACCCCCACCCATAGCCGCCTGGCCCGCCGCCCCCCGCCCATCCCCTTACGGTCCATGGCCATGCCCACAGCGATGCACTTCTTGAAGCGGCACAGCTGGCACTGATTACGGGTGATCTTATCAATGACACAGCAGCTGTCATACTTGCACGAGTAAGTGGGATGGAGGTTCTTCTGGATTGTGCGGCGGAAGAAGCCCTGGGGTTGAGGGGGAGACAGAGCACATTGTGATCAGTAGCTCCTCTTCCTGAACCAATCACGCAGTTCTGTGGGTTGCAGGGTGGTTGGGGAATTAGTGGGGGAACCTGGCATCCTCTTGATGCAGCAAGCCCAGGACCATTGGGCTCAGCTAGGACTTAGAAATACACACCCTCAGCCCCCCAGCTGCGGAGGGGTGGGGGTACATGGATGGTGGTGGTGACAGAAGTAAGGATGGTGACCGCAGGGAGGAGATTTGAGCCTGGGATGGTGTCAAGTGCTGCGAGGCCTGAAGAAACAGAGGCTTTGGAAGCCCAGTTAATAACTGATTTTCCATCTTGTTAAACAACTCGAAGAACAACACTGGTCCCCAAACCATTCTCATGGCACGTGGAATTCATGAAATGGGGCGGGCGTAAAATGATCAAGAAAAGGCATTAGGTACGAACTCTACTAGCATTAAAAGAACATTTTCAATTTTATATATAGGATTTAGTCTTTGCTTTAAAGTGAAAACCTCAAGACTCAAGATGGCAGGAACATGAAGAACTAATCTCTGTTGAACACTTACTACGTGCCAGGTGCCCACAAGCCTTTTCTTTCCTGTATCATCACAAGTAATGCTCGTGTCAACCCTATGAGGTAGGAACTGTCAGTATCTTCACTTTGCCAATGAGGAAATTGAAGCTTGGAGAGATTAAGCAATTTGCCCAAAGTCATATGGCTAAATGGGCAGCAGACCCAGAACTGAGCATGAGGCATGAGACACAAGGTCTGAGCTCTCAGATTTTGGGGTACAATTAAAATCACCGAGGACACCCACCAAAAAGCACAGATTTCTGGGCCTCACTCTAGACCTACAACATCAGGCTCTCTAGGAGTGGGGCCAAGGCATCTCTGTCCTTTCGGGATGCTCCTCTGGGACACAAATGTCCTTGAGGGGGGCTCCTTGTTCTATGTAACACTGCTGGTACTGCTTCCAGGAAGACTGCTACGGGACTCTACATCGCTGGTGGTCTTGGTTTGGTTGACACCAAGAAAGAGCGGAACTTGAAACCTTAACATATTATAAAATATTTCTGCTTCTTGAAAGGTCTTATGTTTTCAGGATTTGATGATTCTGGAAAAACCATGCAGGTCGTAATGTCCAAAACGAGATGATTAAGCCTCCCCACGTCTACGAAGACTTGTCTGCTCTGCCCATGGAAACGCTGCCATCCTCTTCCTCTGGGCCCCATCACACCCCCAGGCATTGGTTCACACCCTTTCAGCGGTGGTAGAAGCAACTGGGGAACCTATTTCATGGCAGATTCCTGGGATCCACCACGAAAGGTAGGGCTGGGATGAGGCCTGGGGATCTGCATTTAACAAGTACTGCTGGTGGTCTAGGAACTACATTTTGAAAAGCACTGACGTTGCTTTCAACTGATATCTGTCTCTCTCTGGTAAGTTGTGAGCAGCTGAGGGTGGGGCAGATACTACACCGTTCACACTTAATACACTGAATGGATGGAAGATATATTATTGAGTGCTTTTTATGTGCCTGGCATTGTTTTAAATGCTCAGTGTGCATTATCTCATTTTCTCCCAACAACTCTGTGAGGTAGGTAGTGTGACTGTCCCCATTTTATAGTCGAAGAAACTAAGGCTCAGAGAGATTTAGGCATTTTACCCATGAGTGGCAGAGCAGAGATTATGAATGAACAAACAAACAAATGAATGAATGAATAAGAGAAGAGAAATGATAGTATAACAGGTGAGTTTAGGGTAAATGTTCATAGAGCTGCCTGTGGGGCCAGGGGCTGAGGGTCTTAAAGGGAATGAGATGGGGGCTCAGGTGGTGGGGGAGGGGCAGGAACTGGCTGTCCATACCTTGCAGCCCTCACAAGTGATGCAGCGGTAGTGATAACCGGTTGCCTTGTCCCCACACACGACACACTGCTCGTCTTTGTCCAGGTAACTAGGGATATACCCTGGGAGGGAGGAAGGGAGGCAGGCATGGCTTGGGCTCCCAGCAGAGAGGCTCCTATACTTTTCCAATCCCCACCTTTTCCTTCCTGGCCCATCCCCTAGCCCAGCCTCCCTGAAGGGTTCTTTATCTCCAAGGAAAATCCTGGAGAAACATCAGAGGTCATCTTGTCCATCCCCTTCCCTAAGAATATGGAGAATCCCAGTTCTTCTGACTGCCCAGCCAGGGCTTTTCTCTTGCTGCATCCAAGGGGCAGGGGAGACAGGAGGAGGAGAAGGCAATGTCAGCAGCAGCTCATCTCAGGGACCTCAGGCAAGGGGTTATTGGAGAAGTGAAGAGGTCCTTCCTGACCTAATCCATCCTCAAAGGCTGGGGCGTGCCCCACAGCACCCCTCTTATCCCAGACAAGTCCTGCCCAAGCCCTCTAGAAAGCTCTCCCCACGGGACACAGAAACTGCAGGGACACGCCCAGGCCCCAGAAGAGCCCTGGCCTGGTTTGCTGGGGTTGAGGGTGGGGAGGAAGGGCACAGGCAGCCAGGCTCACCTGACATGCTGGTTTTCAGGGAACATTGGCCGTTCTTTCTTTTTCGCTTTCCATCTGGCGACCTGGCACTGGATGGGGGCAAGGTGGGAAGAATCAGAGAGGGGTCCTTGGGCAGCCCCCTACTCACCCAATAGGCTGAGGTCGTCCCCCAGCTCTGACTCCCTCCATCTCGGGTCCTCGTTCTCCCTCCCACCCCCAGGTCAGCTGACAAAAGTGAGAAGGGTCCAGCTATCCAGAAGCTTTGGGGAGAGAGATAAGGGGCTTGGCTGGGGCACAAGCATGTTCTTGGGCCCCAACACACACACACACACACACACACACACACACAAAGCATGCATTATAGAACCTTAAACATCCATAATTTATCAGATATCCACACATTAAAACCTTTAGTACAAGACACATACGCAGAAAGAATCTTCAGGACATGCTTAAAACTACATAGCTTTGAGAAGATATACGTATATATGCAACATAAGACCAGCCTGTGTGACTAACTACGCGCCTTCAGTATAAACCCGAGCACGGTAAATAAGCAGCAGGCTCTGCTATCTATAGCTATATATGACCTCTACGATATGCCCACATGTTACACAACCCTCCAGACAGGCACCTAATAATACCATGCCCCTCCCAGCAGTGAACATGTCGCTAGATTTCCAAGGCGTGCACACGTGTTAAAGAAGCACAGTGAACCACGATGACCTAGAACCAAGAGTGTGAGAAAAGGAAGGGACTCCCAGAGCCACCGTGACCACAGCATCCATTTAACAGAGCAGCAAACCAAGGCCCCAGTTGTGCCTGGTGACACTGTGCACTGGAGTCGGAGCCAGGACAAGGACCCTGAGCCCCTCCAAGCACAGTATTAGCAACCCTCAGCCACTGCACACATACGTCGCCCAGCCTCTCCACATACATGTTACATAATCTTGGCACACACAGGTTACATAAGCCTTCTACGTGCATGCACGGACTGTACAACCTCCCATACCCACCCTGTGTGTGTCACATTGGAGGGCCCTCCCCCTGGAGCCTGATGCAGCTCCCAACACACTGACATAGTGACCTTGGCCAGGGTCACGGTCACAGACAGCTCTGTGCTCCACACGCCCTGGGGATTACCCCTGTCTGACTTCCACAATGGTTCGAGGGTCAGATCTCCCTTCTGCCTCTGGGTGGGTGGGTGGGTGTGGGGGAACTCCCGACCACCTAGGCCCTAGCTGAGCTGGAGGGCTTGAGAAATTAACTAGACCCAAAGCCTATGGGTGCGGTCCCAGGGACAGCCACAAGGTGGCGCAGGGACATGGGGGAGGGGAGGTGGACAGGGGAGGGGCTGCAGTCCTGGGGGACCAGGAACTGGCATTCCCGCCTTTCAGACTCTCCCAGACCCATAGAAGTCTGGGTAGGGAGGTACAGAGTCTGCAAGTGAGAGCTATGTGATGACAGGCCAAATCTTTTCCAGAGCCCCCCCGCTGGGGTGAGGCTTCGGTGGGGGCATACCCCTGTTGCCCTACCCCACTGCCAGCTCCATCCACTTCCCATACCCTTCCAGGGACCCAGTCTTGGGCCCCAGGGCTTTGCCTGGCCAGGCCTCCGGCCTCCTGGCTCAGGATCTGGTCTCCTAGGCAACGGCCACACTGCTCCCCAGAGCACCCCTCCCCCACCCTCTCCCTGGCCATAGGCATAGTCTGTACCCGCTCCCAGGGCACCACGCCAACTGAGACAGAGCTCTGTGCCACTGGGAGCTGATGGGAGATGCAGAGACCCTCTGGGCTACTCAAGCGCAATGCAGAAAACAGGTAACGCATCCCGAGTTGTGTGTGCAGGACTGATGCTTCCTCCACGTGGGAGCAAAACCTTCACAGCTGGCATTCACTTCCACTTCCTGGGAGGAGCCCCATGGCAGTGCCCGCCCTTGCCCATGAACAAGGAAGAGCTTGTGAGGCTCCCAATAGGTTCCAAATATAAGCATGAGCTATGACCAACAGTTACTGGTGCGTATGCCCTGAAATGTCACGTCACATGCACCATGGCTTCTGGACCACACACCGGCGGTCAGATGTGAATGGGCTGGTAGGGAGAGGAAGAAAATAGCAGGGCTGTTTGGATTCCACATGCTCAGGTGAGGGTGGCTGAGGGGACACAGGGAAGGGTGGCCTTTGAGACTGCGCAGCACTGTCAAGGATGGGGCCACATGCCTGCTGCCTGTAGTTGCCCTGCTCTGTTATCACCTCCCCCTTTCAAAATGGGCATCTCTCCATCCAGGTGCCCAATTCCCTGCCACATGGGAACATGACCTCAGCTCGTGGGCAAAGGTAGGCAGCAGGCTTGCTGGCCTCATGCCCATCTTCCCAGAGGTGCTTAAAAGGCCCAAGCTCAGCTCTCTGGCCCAGCCAGGTGACCAGCCCTGCTGCCCAAAGAGCTGGCATGATCTAGCTGCAGACCCATTACCTGTTCTCCTCTGGGTCTGACCCACACTCCACCTTGCTTGGCTTCTGTTCCATTCACTTCAATTCCATCCAGGATGCCCTCCAGCACGCCAAGAGACTGGGGTGGGCACACTGGCCCCCCCGGCACACCCACAGGCCACCCACCCCTGGCCACCCAGGCCCTAGGGCACAGCACCCATGGTGCCCGCCTCAGCACTTGGCCTTTCACACCATGCCCTGCACCCCAAGGGGGGCGGGCGGTGAGAGGGGCCAGGGAGTGGCAGGTGGTAGGGCTGGAGGGCAAGTGGGGTCTGTGGGGGGGGTCCTGGGCTGGGGGAGTAACTTCTGAATCTTGTCCTGTCCGGAGGGCCCTGCAGAGAGAGGAGAGAGGCAGGGATGAGGCAGTGCCAATGGTGGGGGCAGGTGAATAGGATTTCTTTGGTGCCAACATCTTGCGCTCTTGAGGCTCATAACAAGATGGTGGAAGGCACAGGGAGAGGACCAGGATAACCCCTCAGACCAACAGATAGCAGGTAAGACTGGAGATACACATCCTAGTCCCCAGACATGGGGAGGGATGGAGGGAAAGAATGAGGTCAGCCATGTACCATGTCTCAACTGCTACGTTCAATCAAGTACCTGGCTCTTAACACCAGTCTATTAAATGTTAGCTATTGTTACCACCCCAAGGTTTCCTAAAACTCATCAGCACCGCAGGGCAAGAGGCAACCAGAGATGAGCAGTTTTCATCCCAGGCATGGGGGCGCTCGTGAAGCAAGAGTGGGGCAAGGGGGGTGGCATGCAGGGATTCCGAATGCCCACCTGAGTGCCCATTGAAAATAGTGGGGTGCTGACCTCCCCTGCTGCTATGACTCCCCAGTCCTGGCCCACCAAGGAGCTTCCCATACAAGGTCCCAAATCACCCTTTCCAGTCTGAGGACCAGACTTCCCAGTTGGCTGAGCTGCCACCCACCAGGATGGCAAGGGCAGGGGGGGCGGGGCGGGGAAGGAAACTAACACACGTTAACTGAATAGAAAATATGTGCCCTCTGAGGTGGCACTTTACAGGTGAGAAAATAAAATCTCAAAACTAGATCATTCCCTCAAGTTCACACAGCTAGTAAGCAGCCTGCCTTGTTCTGCTACCTGGGGTGAAAGGCAGTGCCAACCTGGGCCAACCATTTGCTCGATGCTGCACCTCTGACCTCGGGCTGCAGATCTGAGGCTCCCCATCTGCACACCCAGGCAGGTATGGGCACATGAGAGGGGACAAAAGGTGCAGCTCCCCACACACAACCTCTACCATGTGGCTGCTGTACCAGAGACCTTGCCCCTGGGCCCCCGGCCCACCCCCCAGGAACTGATAAAGGGCCAGGGTGGGAGGGGAGGGAGTGATAAGGCAGGCCATTGGGCTGGGCCAGGCAGGGGATGGGATGGGGCCTCTGCACTCAGGCGCGCCCCCAGCGTGGGGAACATGGTAGGAGCACAGAAGTGGTGCCCATTCTGCCTTTGATACCC